GTTCTACTGCTGACAGCGGCATCAAACTGAATGCACTCACTTACCCAATTTAGTCATCAGAACGGTCAGTAGTCCATTTGTATGCCCATAAAGACAGGCCACACACGTTTGAAAGGTCTTTGGTACCTCGTGAGTTTCATCAATTCACGTGCATTCACACATGTACCTCAAACCGAGATGACATAAACTACGTACTTCTGAATGCACTGGCGGGCCTGGGTCCCGTTTCACAAAACGACCTTCGGCCCAAGCTAGGAGAGGTTTGTTTGTGCCTTAGGCCGTTGTTAAGGACACCGTTTCTTATGACAATCGTCTAAGGCGTTGCCAGTCGCTGAGTAGTCGTGTGTTCGAATCCCGGTTCACAGCGATCATGTTTCTTGGTTTGTCATGGCCATACCCGTGCTCATGGGTTTCACAGTGGTAAACGTGTGAGAGACCTGATCAAAGCGGCGTCACTCTCCCATGATCGCCAACATCGATTCTAATAGTGAGACCCCTTGAATTAGAGTGATCACAGAACGCTGTTTCCTTTGACAATTGTGTCAATTAATTGAAGAAGCCCTACAAGGCTGTACATAACACATGCTTTAATGAATGCGAGTGAGTGAGTTTAGTTTTACGCCGCTTTTAAAAATATTCCAGCAATATCACGACGGTGGCTTCACACATTGTGTCCGTGTGGTGAATCGAAACCCGGTCTTCGGCGTGACGAGCGAACGCCTAAACCACTAGGCCACCCCACAACACCCGGAATGAATGCGAAAATGTAACTGAATCAAATAAAGTGTAAAGTACAAGTGTGCCAAGAGAGGGTTGGTTCCACCACAACCGGCGTTGCGGTCAGGAACAATCAGACAATACACACACACGCACGCACACGCACGCACACGCACACGCACATGCACATGCACACGCACACACTCGAAAATAAACATGCAGAATTTTCAATTAACAACCTACTTGTATGTACTCAATGTCACCCTTGAAGGGGGTTGCGATCTTGATCGCATAATACACATCACGCGTCTTGCTATTCAGCGATTACACGTGGAGCTGGCGTTTAACCACACATCACATGGTGATACAAGGGAAACACTGGACAACCCGGCATTAAACAAACCCAGCCAGCTACCAACCACTAACCAATCATCAACTGTCATACTGATACAACCGATTAAGGTGCGGTGGGGTAGCCTAATGGTTCAAGCGTTTGCTCGTCACGCTGAAGACCCGGGTTCGATTCCCCACATGGGTACAATGTGTGAAGTCCATTTCTGGTTCCCCCGCCGTAATATTGCTGGAATATTGCTAAAGGCGACGTAAAACTAAAATCTCTCTCTTACAACCGATTAAGAAATTCAACTTTGTCTATTAGTGCAGGTCATACTCCTCTAGACAGCGTGTATATTAGTTGAAACGGTGGATGGGGTATTGTGATTCTGCTGAATTTTGCGTTTCTCCTGATTTTTATTGCACGCGCCAATTTTTACACTGACAAACGAGGACACAACAGGCCTTGACGAGAGATAGACTATATTAATTGTAGGTAATGTTTGACAAACCAAGGAATTGCTTCCTCTTCGTATAATTCTTTTTCAAAGAAAATACAGAAAACACGATATATACTGATCTGGAATGAAAACCGACTGGTTCAGTGCGGTATTAGCGTTGCGTCCCTTTTATCAGGGGTAACAACTAATAGTTGACGCGATCGATTGAGGTCAATGTCACTCAATTGTGGATATTACCCTGTCAGTTGTAATACTATACATATTGTAACATGTAAAGTAAAAGAAAATATCATTTAATTACCTGCGAAAACCAAACAGGTTTTGTAACAATATGTTATAGAGAGTCCAGAAACACGTGGTATATTTGCAACCATGTCCACAGAAGCTCCTCCGATAACTTACAATAACGACTTTCATTATGGATCAGTATTAATCCTCTATACAGATCCCACAACCATGTACGTCGTGACGAGGTGATAATGTTTGATCGATCGTTGTTCGTTGGATGTAATTTATTGTCAAAGTCTCTAGATTTCTGTCACAGTGATGACTTCGTCTTTATTTAGTTCAAAAGGATCGTTATTTACATTTCTATCGCACCAAGCATTGCGACATTATTGAAAGCAAGATCGTCACTGATTATCGGCTTAAGTGAGATTATAAATCTGGTAGATATGATGATGCGTGCATTTAGTGTATAAGTTCAAACAAGTAGACCGATATAGGCGCGCAGTTGTCCCTTATAGAGACAGGGTGCATCAGTCATATTGCCTTTATTCCTGTGTTGCTAAGGAGTGAGTTATCTGTGCCTCTATAATGTCTATCGGTGATCTGGGCCATACATTTTCCGTCGGCGATAGCGTCACTTATACTCCAGCGTGGGCAGGCGTACCAAGGTAATGTCTCATGGCACGAAAAAACATATTCTTTTGTCTCATATATCTATATACTGTGACAATATGTAGTTTACACATGTACTATTAGGCTGCTTTGTCTTGTTGAATTTAAGTTAGGTAGTAAACCTAGATTAATATTCCCTACTTCGCTACACAGCACACTAACATGTTGAATTTAAGTTAGGCAGTAAACTAACATTAGTACTTCCTTACTTCGCTACACAGCATACTAACATCTTGAATTTAAGCTAGTCAGTAAATCTAGATTAATATATCCTTACTTCGCTACACAGTATACTAGCATGTATAATTTAAGCTAGGCAGTAAACCTAGATTAATATATCCTTACTTCGCTACACAGTATACTAGAATGTTGAATTTAACTTACTTCGCTACACAACACACTAACATGTTGAATTTAAGCTAGGCAGTAAACCTAGATTAATATTTCCTTACTTCGCTACACAGTATACTAACATGTTGAATTTAAGCTAGGCAGTAAACCTAGATTAATATTTCCTTACTTCGCTACAAAGCATACTAACATGTTGAATTTAAGCTAGGCAGTAGACCTAGATTGATATTTCCTTACTTCGCTACACAACACACTAACATGTTGAATTTAAGCTAGGCAGTAAACCTAGATTAATATTCCCTTACTTCGCTACACAACATACTAACATGTTGAATTTAAGCTAGGCAGTAAACCTAGATTAATATTCCCTTACTTCGCTACACAGCACACTAACATGTTGAATTTAAGTTAGGTAGTAATCCGAGATTAGTTAGGTAGTAATCCGAGATTAATATTTCCTTACTTCACTACACATCATCCTAACATGTTGAATTTAAGTTAGGTAGTAAACCTAGATTAATATTTCCTTACTTCGCTACACAGTATACCAACATGTTGAATTTAAGCTAGGCAGTAAACCTAGATTAATATTCCCTTACTTCGCTACACAGCATACTAACATGTTGAATTTAAGCTAGGCAGTAAACCGAGATTAATATTTCCTTACTTCACTACACATCATCCTAACATGTTAGAACAGAATGAAATATATGTGAGCATAGAAACATAACTAAGATACGGTATGTACAACAATGTAAGTAGTCCAGTCCAGACAATCCCATAAACAACGCTCCACGCTCGGAGCACGATGGCACATCCACCAAGACGCCCAGCCTGACTCCCCGATCCATTGGACCAAGAGAATATTCGATTTCTTGACCCTTCCATTGGCTTTTTCGTTCCATTGAAGGAGAATATTAACGCTAAATGTTTTTCATAGGGGTAAAAGCATTCCAAATGTCAACTTTCATGATTGAAATTGAACAAAACGTTTGTAAGTTTGCTAGTATTCTCCTTTAATTCCTTGCTTTCTCACAAACACACATGTAATCAGATGACTTTGTGTGAGTGCGCATGTGCGTAATATTCAACGCATTTTGGGGATTTTGATTGCAGTTTAGATTTGACACCACTGTACTCAATTTGCACGACTGTTGCGATTAGGGCATTTCAATACGGGGCAAACTGCATTTTTTTTCCGCGCAGAAAGAAAGGAAAAACTACGATTTTCTTCCGTCATGTAAATATACATATCAACGAAAAAATAAAACGCGTCGTCGCATTATTTTACACCAAATCCAAAGACCAGAAACTTAATGTGTTCTTTTTATCGCTTCGTACGACCAGCATTGTTTGTGGGGACCAATTCTTACTCCCAATCTCAATGATGGGTTCTTTTCAGGTGTTCTGGGACATAAAGTTTGGAATGTGACACACTGCAGTCCACACACACAGTTCATCCCCTATCATGAGAGGAGCCATGGCGGAAAGTGTGGTGTTGCTCCTGATTTTGATGCCTCTATTGAGTGTGGATGCTCAGTCTAAACACTTCATTGGAGGATCAGTGAGTTTCAAGTTCGTCGACACATCGAACCCAACAGAGTACAAGGTACGAAAAAGCTGAGTAGTAATACAGGCTTAACAATCATGTATTTATTTAGTCCGTTAGTCTGTTTCTTATGATCACTACCCTTCCCTTCTTTTAGATGAATGTAACAGACTATAGATATGAAACGACAATGTCATGTGGAGATATTGAATTAATTGCCATTGTACTACCTGAGGTATGTCATTATCCTTTAAAGGACCTGAGCGTCGTGAAAAATGAAATGAAATATTTCATTTGCAGTTTTCTACTTATTACCTCTAAGAGGACACACATAGACTCATATTTGAATTGATTTGCATTTTTACACATTTCCAAGTCAAATAAGCAGTTGGCCATAACGTGTACAATGGCCACCTATTTTAGTTGAATTGACAAATACGATAAAACAATTCTCGTTTTAGATATACTCCTCTCCTGACATTGACAATCCTCTTTCTTTTCAGGTCGAATTAACAAGTGTTACCGGATGGGTGATGGGTGAAGGGCCCTGTGGAGAGAACTGCACGATCACTGACGTCGGACAGAGCACAAGTACAACTCGAAATCATATGTTAGACATGAATGGCAATATGTATCTCGGAAACTGGACTTCGGAGGCCGGATACTCGCATAGCAATGTCACTTACAGTATGATTACTGACAAAGTATCCAACAGACTCACTGGCGAGGTGGCAGCCGTAAATGTCCCCCTCCAGTGGGAACAGGAGATAGCCGAAGTTGTCCTGGAAGTCGACCCATTACGTCAATATACAGATATCGAGTAAGTAAGACTGGTATTTCATGTCAACTTACTACATATTACACTGTTTGTTCTTGTACAATGCACAATGCTCAATCCCTTACTTGACCAAAGTCGGCATGAAGAAAACTTTTTCTAGTTCTGATACGGCCAATACTGCGTTCATTCGTATTGATGTGTAATACTGTGTCCCGTAACTGGAATTTCTACCTAGTTCGATTATTTAGGTTTCTGTCGCCACAGTCACTGGTGCCTCTTTACGCTGAGCATTTGCTCTTTGTGCTGATTTGCATTAAGGACACGATTTTAGTAACATGTGGTGGGTATAGGTTAACGGGATAGAAGCGTCAAAACTCATAATAATGTATCACGATATGATCTGCCAGGATGTAATGTTTTTCAGCACGTATGAAACTGTAATGATTGTAATTTATCTATATGGTTTTACTTTTTGCAGGCTGCATGGTTTCTACTGGAAGGACTTTGACTATGGTTACGAAGGGGACACAAAGTTTCACCTTCAAGTAAAGATAAATGCACAAGAACGTAATGATACAGGAGAACCAAACAACAGCCCTGTTGCGATGTTTAAACCTACATACAAGTAAGCTAATAATAACAACATAGTTGATAATCTTCATTAAGTCTAATATCAGTCTTAAAGTTCTTGAAAGGCATTAAGAAACATGAATGCATGACACGTCTTATTTATAGATAAAAACTTCTTTTATTCTTTATACGACGTTTCAGAGCAAATTCCTGCTCCTTCGTCAGGTGAATGATGAAGGAGGAAAAAGTTGCTCTGAAACGTCGTATAAAGAATATAAAGAAGATGTTATCAAAAAAACAAACGTGTCATGTATTCAATATCGGTCTTTTTTCCAAAACACATATGTTTCTTTAGATGACATGATAACAGTTCCCACAATCTTTTATGTTCCATATTCCAAAAAATGGTACTGTCATGGTCTATCGATCACTTCTTCATGTGGTTTGTCTGGCAGGGGAACTGATGTGCGCCGTTAGACAAGAAATAGTTATATTTGTGCAAATTGTGTGGGTGGTGGGGGTGCTATTTTTCCTGTATGACAAATGGAAGCTGTTATTCTTTTACACTGACGTTTCATATTTACCTTTCATTTTCCTTAAGTACTCTCACATTGTGAACTCATATCACCATGAACCAATATGTCCACAATAAACGGAAATTAGTTCTATGTACCAATAGAAAACAAATAAACACATATTGATTATATATTATATTCCAGAATTCTCTTAAACAACGTAACAGTAATCAAACTATCCACCATGGACAAGGATGGGGATTTTGTGCAATGTCAGTTAGCAACGTTCATAACTGCTGGTGGTCTGCCTCCACCACGTAACACGACCATAAACAAGGTAACTGAGTGTGTAACACACGTGAAAGTAAATGTTCCCTATTGCTAAAGGTATGTGCGTGTTCTTAGTCGATGTAAACTATTCAGTAATGGAACACGACATTGTTATTTAGCAGTATGACCGCATTCAGTTGATTACAGCGTCTTCTGTTTACGACATAACAGTTTCGGTTTTCCGCCCAATGCTCCATTTATTACTTTCGGTCATCTAATTAAAACACACATACTCATAAGCAGAACGAAATATTCCCCATCTCGCAATGCGCGACACGACAGTCATATTCTGCCGTATTCAGGAATTCAAATGTACTAAGTCACGTACACTGCCAACAGTCAGAATAAAGTATACACTGATAGAAGCTGAATAGGTTTACTACCTTGGCTAATGGAAACTGAATTCCACCCCCAACACGCCGTCCCACAGGGGGCCACCATCTGTGCACGTTACCATTCTTGATACTGATACTGATCAGCAGCAAGAGAAATTCCACTCACTCATCCTGATCAACGGATGCCGTCGGAACAGCTGAGAGGTGAGCGATTGATCCAAGGATATACCCAAGAGATGCACCGAAGAAGGAAGTCTTGCAATCATCCATAAGTATTGAACGGCCAAAGCTACAGGGATGCCATTCTGTAACTGGTTACCCTTACCTTTCTCAGAGTCACTATAGACACTGTACCAACAGGGCAATGCGAGCCCCTACAATGCTCAAACAGACTTCTCAACATCAACAGCTTATATTACCAGGAACCTGATGTTTAACTGACCTCTCGGCGAGAAAACATCACTGGGATCAATTTGGGTGACAGAGTAGACAACTCCCAAGCATGCGAAAACGTGTTATTTGGAGGATTGAGACCCCATACCCAATCAAGTCTTGATACCCTAGGTGCCAAACTAGATACTGATGCCATTGTCGAGGTGCTGTAGAGGAAACCTTCATATTGGTTGTGTTTGATCGTTTTGGGGGGAATTCATCCCAAGTGCCAACGATATTGATTTTATGAATAAACTTTGAAATACTTTTCAGTGAAATGTGCACTTTTTCCAAGTCGAAGCATACTTATTTGCTCAGTAATGTACTAATACCGTTGCGTCTCAGTTGTGAAGGTTGGGAGATTCAGGTGATTCTGTTATATTTTTCAGGACTGCAGCATTGAAATCACCGCCTATGAAACTGATCAATTCTTCGATCAAGGATGGGGAGTGATACCTGTTAAGATCAGTGATTTTAACAGGAAAGCTATAAAACTCAAGGGGGATCATCGTCCGTTTGTTCAAGCTGGATCACAGTCGCTCAGTGATATAACGGTTCAAGTAAGCCAATACTCCTCGCGATGTCCAACTTGTCAGGCAGTTAGAAGCACCATAGAAATCAGTTCCTATGAATCTGATCACCTCTTTGATGGAAGATGGGGAGCGTTACCTGTTGAGATGATTTAACTCCAGACCTATACACTTCAATATGGTTTTCCAGCTGGCTCAACTTCTCTCAGTCATATTACGGTGTAGGTAAAGACACTAACAATGAACGTTAACTTAAAAAGAAGTTGGCCTTGTGTGACATTATAACGTTATGTTCCGATTCCTGATTTCAGTTCATGATACAGACTCTAGAAACCATTGAGGCGCCGGAATTTGTGGACCCTACAAAGAGTAGTCAACATGTGTTCTACGTATATGCTGGTTCAACACTAATTATACCTCTCTATGCTAAGCCATATGATTCGAGCAAAAGGTACGTGTATGTGATATGCACTTGTGTTTTCGTACCTCTATTGTGATCAGGCTACGTAATGACACGATACATTTGCCTTTTAATAACGAGGATTGTTTCTTATTCCAGTGAGATTTCTTTCTTCAATTTGAGATCAATTCCAAGGAGATCTTTTCCTATCCCACCACTGGAATATGATGTCGGTCGCAAAAGTGATGGCATTAAGTACGCAGTGGTGAAATGGCGTCCAGAGAGGAAAGACGTCGGAACCTATGTCTTCAGTGCATTGGTAACAGATAACTTGGGGTAAACTTCATTATACAACATCATGAGCTCTTTCAAGTATGTATGTGTCGAACAGAATAAAAACTACAAAGATAGACAAAACGTTCTTTCAATAGAATTTAATATTTTGTATCAGTGATAAATCTACTGACTCTGGGAAGTAGCACGTATGCTAATTACCGAAACTTTGTGGCTTTTATATGGAATGAATAAACACATCAGCTTGTGCACGTCGGTAGATACAAATGTTTTTCAGTTACGTGTCCTTGTCTTTTCTAGCAGTGGCGTTAGCTGTTTGTACCAGTGATTGAATTTCAAAAATGCAGTTTGTAGATCAGAAAGTTTACAGGGAGGAAAAATTGAATTGCTACGTGGTAAGGATAGTTACTAGTATGGTTTATATCGTGAAGGTTCCTCCTCATCCCATTGTTAGACCTTACTGCTCGCCATAGATGGAGGCATTGCTCAAATTGAAGACTTACTCGCAAAGAAGTCAGAATAATTGCTGGGGTATCGTCATGCATCATTATATGTTTGAGATAACATTACACAGACGGATGGTTGGTTGGCTTTTGGTAGGTCTTTTTGTTGGTTGGTATGTTGGCTTGTTGCTTAGCAGGTTAGTTGACTGGTTACATGGAGTTACTTTCGTAATGACCATTATGGGCATTCCGTATGAGATTAAGACCCCAACCTTACAGTGCGTAAAAAGGTTTGATGGCCAGAGGCTGATTGTGTGTCATCTCACCCTAAAGATGTGTTTGTTTCTCATCAAACCAATCCTGGGTTTGTCAGGTCATGACTCGCCCATTTCCAGGCAGGCTGCCGCCATAAAGATAAACGTTTTGTTACACATTAAATGAAAAATGCAATAAAAGAGGTTAAATATATGTCGGCTGAACATTATCAAATCTGCGGCTTCGATTTGAAGTAGATTTGACATCGACCATAGATTGAAAACACGTGTACATATAGCTGATATAGGTTCAAATACAGATGAAGTTTACATATTCTTAATATGCAAGTATCTATTCAGCAATCTGTTTCATTGTATTTTTCAGGATCGACGGACTTGACAGGAATTACAACATCATTGTCAGAGGTGACATATTGTCAGTAGATAGATTTCTAAACCTTAAACAATTAGACAGCGAGTTGTGATTGTCGCACAAAGATGTTCATGGTCAAATACTTTAACATCATGAATATAGGTATCAAATCATAAATAATCCAAAATACTTTAACATCTCATAAATAATCCAAAATACTTTAACATCATAAATAATCCAAAATACTTTAACATCATAAAAAAGTCAAAATACTTTAACATCGTAAATATATATATGTGACAGGGAATGTGTGAAACCAGGGATTTCACGTAATCCCTAACAGTCAGTGATTTCGTGAAATCGCTGTAACCCCCAGGGATGTAGGTTTTCCCTTCAATTTCAGGGGATTTCATGAAATTACTGATTTTCATGGTGTTACATTACACACATTCCCTGTTAGGATATCAGTAAATATCGGTGAATTATACCGAATATCTTGGTACACATTTGTGTTCACATTTAATGTTTCTCCATTTCGTATAGACATCAACTTCACCGCCCCTGATGTTGGCACAGTGGTAAGTATATATAGTATATAGGTTTAGTATGGATTGTGTCCAACAGTATGCCACTTAGGAGGGTATGCATGGCTGAAAAAGTGTTGAAAAATATCCTCCGACACCACACCATGATTTTCGTTAATAAGCGAACTTGATTCCACGCCGAGTTGAGCAGCATTCAAGTTATATCACGGCGTGTTACGTTATATGTAACTGGAACGCTTTAGGGTCACAACTCTCTGGATTCTGGGACCCGTGCCACCATTAAAACATGTAATTAAGTATACTTTCTTAACTATCTTTGAAATATCTAGAGATGTATTGATAGAATTTGGAAAGACAGAAAGATATTTATTCACAATACAATTGTTCACACTAAGACAGGACCTCAATTTGCTGCTGCACAAAGACATGCACACATCAGATGTTTTTGTGTCATGAAGAGCCTCCTTATGGAGGTGCCTAAAGAAAATATATATGTATCATGTTTGATGTTCTATGATGTTTGGCAGAGTACCTGTGAATATATCAAACGTCATTTTGTAGATGTGCCATGTGACGGTAGAAATGTCTTGTTCTTTCTTTACAGACTCGCCCCTTCTTTACATTATTCCCCAGCGATATTGTAATACGGTGCCTACAGAATTCAACATGTTCTTTCCCTATTTACTCGACAACTAAGCGTGCTGGGTAAGATGAAAGGAACAACCATCTAACATACATCACAAACAAATACCTTTCTCTTGTACACTTTCACATCTCTGTATAATTTGTGACACATATTTATTCTGGAACCAAACAAGACAAGTCAGTGAAAACAAAAAGACTTTTCAAGTACTCTACAATATGCAGAGAAATGCCCATCTAGGAAACAAGGTGTTGCGATACTGTTTACCGTGTGTATATGTTGGTCAGTAGTGTCTCATGCATATTTCGACAAAAACGACGAGGAAAGCTCCTGAAGATGGAAATGGTGGAATAACTACTGAGAGGTGGAACGTTTTATTTGATATTCCATGCAGGTGCCAGTACCAATCACTGGACCATCTTCCATTAACTAGGGACCCGTGAAGATCCGGGGTAGAATAGGTCTTCAGCAACCCATGCTTGCCACAAAAGGCGACTATGCTTGTCGTAAGAGGCGACTAACGGGATCGGGTGGTCAGGCTCGCTGACTTGGTTGACACATGTCATCGGTTCCCCATTGCGCAAATCGATGTTCATGATGTTGATAACTGGATTGTCTGGTCCAGACTCGAATATTTACAGACCGCCGCCATATAGCTGGAATATTGCTGAGTGCGGCGTAAAAACTGAACTCACTCATTCACTCCATTAACTAGGACATTGCTGGAATATTAATCAAGAAACATACACAAGCCAATACCTGCACCGTCAATCATTCCAATATCAGTTGTATTATCCATATTTAAGAAATACAGTTCGCTCAGTTTCAGCTTTGCCCTGAAATAGTATAATAAAAGGACGAGGGCGCTTGCGTCTGATGAAGTACTGTCGTCATCATTGATCTTTTAGCGATGCATGTTAGAATACAAATTACATGGTGGAATGACGTCCCTTTTTATAGTCACTCAGTCCATTAAGGGAGATGACAACACATCTATTCAAATATTGCAAGTCAAAGATAGAGGCTAATTTGAACTCTTCACACTTTGCAGAGGACGGATAGCATCTGTGAAATATACAACTTCGACTTTCAAGAACACCCTTATTTCGATGCCAGTCAAAGTAACCAAGAATACACAAGATATGTTTGAGACTGATGTAACAATAACATCAGACCAGGTTGGCGGACAAAAAATATGTTTTGAGGCGTATGACGACCAAGGGTAAGGCGAAATATACATATATCTAAAGGTTATAGAGAGAACTAGATTTTGAATTTCTCATGACATTGACATACATATATCTAAAGGTTATAGAGAGAACTAGATTTTGAATTTCTCCAGACATTAATATACATATATCTAAAAGTTATAGAGCGAACTAGATTTTGAATTTCTCAAGACATTGACATACTTACATGTATAATAATTATATAAAAAGTTATAGAGCGAACTAGTTTTTTACTTTCTCAAGACATTGGTATTGACCACGTTTGTGTTGTACATTCGAGAATATAAGACGCATGTTCCGACATACACTGAATATCAATACTTTACAGGACAAAGTCTGAGAAGAAATGTCTTGGGGTCACAATGGAAATTAATGGTCAGTTTATGTTGGCACTCTGTTAAGGAATGCTTTTACAATAACTATGTGAGACAAAACCCGTTTTCAATTAGATAGTTTACATCTCATTTCTTTCAACAGATGTTTTGGGCGCTGTGCTTCAACAACAGTTTGATGATACAGTTCTGAAAACCATGAAATGTTATACTCTGTGTTTGATTCAAATTGATAAATGTCAACGTTTATTATGAAACGAAGCCATAACGTATATGTTATGTAATAACGATGAAGGATCTTTTAATAATGTACATGTTGATTTAATTATTGAGTTGTTAAAAGAAACTGAATTAATTGATAAATTGTTATGTGTATTGTAATTAGAGTATGATTTTAAATTTGTGAGAATGAATTAATGAATCAGACTGTTAGTGGCATTACCTTCAAAGGGGATTGAAATTACTGCCCCCTTAGAATGTATGCAAGTCCCATTTCATTCAAAAAAAAATTTCATACAACGTGTTCTTAATCAAAGAAAATGTGTTATTTTAATGTATGGCAAATGTTGACTACAATCGCCAATGGCTGAAGGGATGATGTAAATCCACCTAGGGTCCATGCAGGTAGCAAAGGTACTGTGAGTCCTCATGGTCCCTAGTATGGTGATCTACCTTCAGTTGTCGGCGATCTATAGCACGTTTTTTATATTGTATCGTCTTTCATAGATATTCAGATATTTTAGATTTTAATACTAGTTTTACAATTATATCTGTGAAATTCTAGTTATTTTTACTTCCTTCGCCGACATTGGTTTATTATTAAATTGTAACATGATTTTAGTCACGAAATTGCTGAAATATTGCCGATGTGACTTAAAATCTTAACTAACTCACTAACTTTTATAACTTTTCATCATTTTCAATTAACAAGTAAAAAGAACGATATAAAACGCTACGTAAAGTGATCTGTTAGCGTTTTTGTCACTTATGTGAGGTTTATTTTTAGGATAATTTTTTTATAGATCCCTGCAAATTCGGTCCATGTGTGAACGGCTTATGTAAGAGCAACGGATCTACCTTCGAATGTACCTGTTCCAGAGGATACAGCGGTCGCTTATGTGATATCGGTAAAAACTTGTAGAACTCTCAGTCACGTGTTATGAATACACAAGGGCATTTAGAAAGTGGCCAAATGTAACACATGTCATATTTGGAATTACACCTTCTTAGTAACGTACAAATCTTGTACTTTTGTTGGGTTCAGAGTCCCATCCGGGATTCAAACCCACACTCACAGAGTCTGGCACCTAATCGCAAGCACACAAAGTCAGCGATCTAACCCACTCAGCCACTAAGGATGTGTAATCCCAAATGTAACATGTGTTACATTATAACGTGTTACATTTGATTTTCGCTTAGCAGAACAATTTAAGATATGCCATGACAATCCTGTCGTCGATATAGTTTATAAGGATACTTGTTGGTCTTTGCTCTAAAACTCGATCGGCAACATTGCATGATATCTACACTATTCCGTGAGTTCTTATTGACACAATATTCTTTGTGAGATGTGGACGAATGCGCAAGCAACCCTGCCAAAACAGCGGAACCTGTGCCACCAGCGAGCTCATGATGGGTATCTACTTCTGTTACTGCTCTGGGGGATTCACAGGAACAAGCTGTGAAACAAGTAAGTATAACAGTTCCGAAATATCTGGAGACATAATATGCACTAATTCATACAGTAAGAGTTATTTATATATTTGCTTCCTTGATCAAATTTGAAGTATATTGCCAATAGTATGTGTACACGTACCTGATTTAACATTTTAGAACTGTCCTTTAGCAGTCATAGATGGAGGTAGATTGATGTAACACATCCTATACGTGATTGTAACCGAGCTCCACAAAGCCAAGCTTGTTTGACAACTCGAAGTAAGTAAAAGCGGGTCTTAGGTATTTAGGTCTACGTGTTTGGTGCAAGCACAAGAGCCCGGATAAAGTGAGAAGCATATATTAATCAATGGGAATATGGCATTCGACTTCACGAACACAGCTTCCTGGTCCTCTCATGGGACGCAACCCGTCACAGTGAACTGTTTAGCGTTATATAGACTTTGTCTCCCTTACTCAGAATCAATTTGAAGAATGATTGTTTTCAACTCATACAGATATAAATGAGTGTAAACCCGACTCTTGCTCCGGAGCTGGTATCTGTATCGACCAGATAATGGGCATTAAGTGTCAGTGCAACAAGGGGCACTCTGGCGACCACTGCGAAACCCGTGAGTAACGGAATATACTCGCTAACTTAAATATCGCTGCATGTCTTTATTGTTAGTTTAATCCTGCAATAGTTGCAGTTACATTGTATTCTACATGTTCCAATGCACTGTTTGCACGCTATCGGTCAGTGCTTTTGATATTCTGCAACACATCTGATACTGTAGGATTTGGGAGGTGGGGTAAGTAGGTAGTGGTTTAAGTGTTCGCTCTTCACGCCGATTTCGATTCCATACATGGGAACAATATATCAAGCCCATTTCTAGTATCTCCTGTCGCGTGCCTGTGAAGGTCCGGGATAGAATATTGATCTTCAGTAACCCATGCTTGTCGTAAGAGGCGACTTCGGGTGGGCAGGTTTGCTGACTTGGTTGACACATGTCATCGGTTCCCAATTGCGCAGATCGATGCTCGTGATGTTGATCATGGATTGTCTGGTCCAGACTCGATTATTTACAGACTGCCGTCATATAGCTGGAATAGTGTTGAGTGCGGCGTAAAACTAAACTCACTCACTCACTCTCTCACTCATCTCCCGTCGTGATATTGCAGGAATATTGCTGAAGGCGACGTAAAACTATTTTCACTCAGTGCATCATTTCAGAAAAGAGATTTTATCAAAACCTTGTTTTCCTCTTTCCATCAATGTTGCATAATACAGTGAAACCACGTTGTGTCGAAATTGAAAGTACTTCCCGTTTTCCGATTTATTCACATACATAGATTTCATTTCGACACAACCCGCAGTGTTGTTTCAATGTTGTTTCATATTTCCCCAGCTGATCCACTTTGCTCCAGTCATAACTGCGTGAACAACGGGATATGCGTATTGGAACAGAGTAAAGCAGTATGTAGATGTCCACTGAGATATGGCGACCCTCTCTGTCAGACAGGTGACTACAAGCAAACATATACTAATTATACTAATTATCGCGAGATGTACACAGTCATATCATTATGTTCTTGAGATAGTAACAATTGTACAATGGACTCTGCTTTTAGCAGAGATATCGTATACATGTGGAAAGGGTTTTTGTAGCTTCTAATATCTCTACTCTCTTTGAACCCACTCAGTATGTCTTACCCAATATGTAATCTTATGATAATGATTAGTTACTTGGTACGAATGCAGCCGTTTGGAAATAAGAGGGATGCATTTTGTATCTAAAACTAATCAAACCAGACAAATACATGATAAATGCAAATTCTCTGCAAAAATATTTTCTTTTTGACATTTTTGCTGAACATGACATTGGGATATTGAGTTGCTATACATTTAAAACCATAAAACCAATCATCCCTAAAGCTTTCAAATAGATAAAGATGGATGCTGTATATATTGTTCTTGTTGCAGATAAAAAATCAACTGGGGGAACTCCCGTAAATAAAGACAATGGCCATAAAGAGGTGGGATAACATTTACAAGTGTGATGCTACAACAGCTGTTAAACTATTTAAGATGAATTCTACATTTATAAGTTGCTTAGTAAGGCGTATGCTGACATCAGTGAATAATGTTATTGTATTTTTGTCTATTATTGTTCACACTTGTAACATGTTTCAGTCGCCATTCACAACTCCAACCCTGGTAAATGGGGGTGGCATCCAGTGTACGGTCGGTGAATCGTGTAGTGTTCCGCTCTTCATCCGTGAACCTCCCTCAGGGTGTGTAGCAGGCAGTCATCATCACTGGTCAATCAACATCGCATTTTGTACTGGAAATATTGATCATACCTAATACTAAGTGTAAAAGTCACACAAAGGTGCCCCTTTAGACATGCCAAATGTGTAGATTATTCGCAAACCTTTCGCCATTAAACTATACAACTTACAATATGAACGCGACTGAGTGAATGAGTTTAGTTTAGCAATATTCCAGTTATATGGCGGCGGTCTGTAAATATTCGAGTCTGCACCAGACAATCCAGTGATCAACAGCATGAGCATCGATCTACGCAATTGGGAACCGATGACATGTGTCAACCAAGTCAGCGAGGATGACCACCCGATCCCGTTAGTTGCCTCTTACGACAAGCATGAGTTACTGAAGACCAATTCCAACCCGGATCTTCGCGGGCTGAACGCAACTGAACTATAAGAGGCGACGAATGGGTTAGGTAGACTAGGGGCCGCGTATGCCTGGAATACTATAGAGATATCGCAGGTCGTTACGTTACGATTGCTTTGTGGGTCGGGACCCATGTGTGCTGACTTGGTTGATGCATGTCCTCGTATCCCTGTTACCTAGATCGGTGATCATGAATTCAGTCACTGGATTGACTGGTCTAGACTCGAATATTTACAGTTTGTTGTCATATAGCTGGCAAGTTAGCAGTGTGAGAGATTTAACCCCAAACACCTATGTATACACGTCACAGATTAATATTTTGTAGACGAAAGTTCAAACTGGTGAAGGACATTGTCTAAATACACGAACAGATATACTTTTGTGAAAGACCAAAAATCACGGCTACAGCAACGGAGAGACATTATGCTTGAGTTAAGTTGTACACGCATCTGGAAATTCAGTTACTTTGTGCCCTGTATACCAAAGAATTACGATTTATGACTGGACCATTTTTTCAGGACCGTTCCTCCAGTTTCCGTGGGTCCGAAATCACCGGATTTAACCGCCAGTGTAACTATGCCCACGCCTGACAAAAGTACAGGATTGGAGAAGACGGTGACATCTACTCTGACGGTGACACCAACTAAACCTGGAGAACAAACCGTTTGCGTCGATGCTGGGACTGGGTAGATGGAATACTTTCATGTACATAGTTGACCAAAGTAACAATAAATATTCATAGCACCTTCAAACCATCCCTTTTGTAAACCTTGGGCATATATCAAAAAGCGTGTCCGTACGTTTTTCTGTACTCCGAAATCGTGACCGATTGGGCTTGATCAGGAACATAAATCGGCTATGTTAAACGCAATTCTGCTCAGAGTCCTTCGAAGTAATACAATCAAGGGATACTCTAAAACTGTTTTGACGGACTTGTAATGTGTGTTGAAGCATGTTGATGTTTACTTCACCTCCAAACTACAAGTCAAGTTTGACGGATCGGTATAAAGGTGATCTATGATATATCTTCACTAACGGTACATATGTTTCACATTCAGCTCGGATGCTGACAGAATCTGTTACGTGGTGAACGTGAAGAAACCAGTACCAGGTATTATAAAGACAATGTCTACTGTTGTAATGATTAGTTGAACGTAGTTCGCCATGGTGTGGATTTGTGATAGTTCTGTAGAGGTCTGTGAGCACTGTGAGCACAAGGAGTTTATGGCTAGTTCTACAGGAAATGTACGTATTTCTACTTGGGTCTACAACTGCCGGTGACAATTCAGTTTTGGAATGTGTGTTTAACATACTGGCATTAGATTGTTATTCCCATGAAGATCCGGGTTAGAACTGGTCTTCAGCAACCCAAGAGGCAACTAACGGGCTCGGGTGGTCAGGCTCGCTGAGTTGGTTGATACATGCAATCGTATCTCAAATACGTATTCAATGCTCATGCTTTTGATCACTGGATTGCCTGGTCCAGACTCGATTATTTTCAAACCGCAGGGATATAGCTGGAATATTGCTGAGTGTCCCGTTCAACAACAAACAAACAACAAACAAACAAACACACATAAGGTTGTATGTTGTCCAGTTTTATTCTGAATCCCCATATTTCATTATATGTGCTAGGAAATTTGTCACAATGATGACCAAGAAACCCTCAGTCGTTCATCACGCTCAATCAACGGGGTTCATTGTAAAAGTAGAACAAGTTAACGGATATTGATATAAAGTATATTTTCTTTCACCTGAAGTTCCTAATAACTGCGTTCTACCTGTTAATAACTATCTGTTGAGTCTGAGGGGTTTATGGATGAGTGTACATGTATGGAATATTGATGTAATCCATTTGTTTGCAGTTATCGGAGACACTTCACTTTTGGTATAAGCATTTGCCTTATGTTGAAGGTTGAACAGTTGTGTTCATTTATCGTAATCGTGCCAGTGTTTAAACATTTTTGAAAAAAATATGTTATTGTAAACTTATTTCATTTGCCATTTAGATATTGAGGGCATGTTTTGACACTGGGCCACAGTTCACGGTTTTCTTGAAACGTTTTTATTTGCGCACATAACTGAGATAATAAAATATACCCCCATTTGTTCCTTTCACAGGAAAGACGACGGCAACAGTAAGTAAAATGGCTAAATCTAATGGAATTTATATATATTTTGCTCAAGCTGTTCACATTTTAACGTGAATACAGTGTAAACGACAGACACATACATGATGAATGAAAACGTGAAATCTCGTTGACGTGATATACCACTACATGCCCTATTCTACATACCTAGAATCCCGGATTTCTGGAGCCTTCATTACCCGATGAGAGCACTGTCAACTGTCAGGTCACCGTGCCATGTCACGCAATGTTCCACACTGCAAAATGGTAAGACAGTTATATTGTGCGATCATATAAAAAAGTAATTCACACTTATGATTGCTTCAGATACTGATGGTCTTGAATCTTACGGTTGAAGTTACAGGACGGATTCCGACGTATGACATGTATCTCATGCTGTTCAGAAATTGTATCAGGAACAGCTGTAATTTAAAGCCATTTGTATCCTTCAGCCCCCTGACATCTGGAAGCACATCAGCCATGACATTCCCTGCTATTTCTACGGACGGAACGTGTCAAACAGATGTTTTATTCACGCCTCCGCCAGGGGGAGATAGTAACGTTTGCCTCAGGTAGGACAATGGCATATACAGTGACTGCACGGTTTATAAGCACTGGCATTTGATAGAAATGATATACATAAACTAATATAGATCATTTATGGAGCTAGGTGTACGTTGATACATTAACAGCACTGATGTTTGTAATCTGATTATCACATAATGCATTCATATTGCACCTTTGCATAAAAAATGACATACCCGTGAAGATCCGGGTAAGAACAGGTCTTCAGCAACCAATGGTTCTTGTAAGGGGCGACTAACGGGATCGGGTGGTCAGACATGGTTGACACATGCTATCTTATCCAAGCTGTGTATATCGATACTCGTGATGTTGTTGACAAGATGTTCTGGTCCACACTCGATTATCTACAGTCAGCCCCCATATAGCTGGAACATTTCTGAGTTAGACAACACACAGACAAAGAAACCAAAACGAATCAGACTCGAGCACATTCTGTCGAGGATACTTTCGATGTCTCTTTTCATATGTATGTTCACAGCACTGTAGGCGAGAAACGATGTTACAAGGTGAACGTCATAGCAACAGGTACGAAATTTTAAGGAATATTTCTTTGAGTGACCACAGCGGCTTTGGCATCAGTATCAGATAATGATAATATTAAGAGGAAGAGGAAGAATATGTTATAAAGCACTACGCAACAATAGTGCGCATTCAGGAATGACATGCTAAGGTTTGTCATCCGATCGCACGTTGTTAGACGACAAGTCGCAATATGGTTGAAATAATGTCGATGCGACTCACTGTTAGACTACTGGTTCAAATGGGTGAGTGAGTGAGTTAAAATTTAAAGTCACATGTGCAGTATTTCAGCCATATCGTGACTATAGTTCATGTGAACAATATACTTGAGAACATGTAACAGTATAAACACCAAGGAAATTACAAACATCCCTCCTTGCTATGATACGTACAGGTGAATATTAGTCGCTCGTTTGAAGTTTCTTCTGAATGGGCCATCTTTACAGACGAGTGCAATCCTAACCCATGTTTGAACGGAGGTGGTTGCGCAAATCAACCACAGAAGCCCCCTGGGTACCGATGCGCGTGCACAGAATCTTTCACAGGAGACACATGTCAAAATCGTAAGTTATGTTACATAGGTGTCAATATTTTCCAACTCTCATGTCACTTATGAAACTCAATTGCTGATAAACATGAATTTTTCGTTCCTATACAATTTTTTACTGAAGCCGATTACCGAGTACTGTACATATGTAGATATTGTAGAAATTGAAATTAAGTCACGAATGTTACTCTTTTGGGAAAAACTCGTTTCAGGAAAGGCTTCTAAATTTTCTCACCTAGTTTATAAATAACTCTATAATGATACAACCTGGAACACATCTGGCTATAAATAGATTGCCTGTATTAAGGACACTTTTGAAAAATTGGAATGTGTTATATTTGGGCTACACAGGCATGTCCTAATAGAAATAGTCTAAAGCCCTTGTTGTAAACAGACAGAAAGAAATCAACCTACAGACCTGGATATCAAACACAGAACAATCTTCAAATGGAGCTATTCATAATATTATTAAAAATTCTGAACTGAAATTCGAAACCTATCTGAATTTATTACATTATGATAATCGGAGGGCGTTACTTAAACTGAAACAGGACGATGGATCAAAACTCCCTCAAATGAAACATGTACTCTCTGTAATGCAAACGATATTGGAGATGAATTTCATTTTTTGTTTATTTGCCCTACCTTGGCCCAAGAAACGAAAAATATATCAACAACTATTTCTGTAGAAACATGAATATGCACAAAATGAACCAGCTTTTGCACTCTAACAAACTGGGAACAATTAGGAGATTAGCAATATTTGGCAAAATAATAATAAATGTCTCATTTTAAGCAACACCCACAAACAAAATAACCAATAACGCATGAGGGTAACATTGTTTATTTAACTGGTTAAATGTACGTACAGACAGTTTATTCTTGCAACCAAGCGATATATATGAGCTCCTTATGTTTCGGACATGTATTTAAGTTGTATATTATGATGTAAACTTGTACCTCTGATGCCGTCGAAAGCGGCCGGAGTGTAAATAAAAGTTCAGTTCAATACGATTCAGTGATTGCATTGTCAACAGATAACCCATGCCACCCAAATCCTTGCCAAAACGGTGGCGATTGTGTCAGTAGCATGACCTCGCACCAATGTCTGTGTCCGGTGGGCTACACGGGACTCGACTGTGGAACAGGTAAGATAAACTAAGCATATAATAAAAGCATTATTTTTAAACAGGTTTGATAATAAAACGTAATTGCGAATGAATGAATGAATGAATAAATGAATGAATGAATTGATATTGCTTTACGCCACGTAAGCAGTTTCCAGCTTTTCACAGCGAGGAGAATGTATATGTAAATACGACGCCAGTGATAATATCTTTGTTTTGTTAAGGGCGGTGGGACACACCAGAGGTGAAAGCTTTCGCTCGTTACGTTATATACCCAAGTTCGATTTCCTACATGGGAACAATGTGTGAAGCCTATTATTGGTGTATCCTGCCGTGATATTCCCGAAATATTGAGAAAAGTGGCGTAAACCATACTCACTCACCCATTCAGTTTCTTACTCACTGTTTGCTTTGTTTTCAGCTATTTCTGCCACCCCAGAGGTAAGTATCTTACAAAACATATGATGCACCTTGAGGGAAATATTATGTAGTTTATATACTTTGTTATCCGTTTTTAAAAAGGCTGTACTGATAATTAAAATGATCTACACAACAAGACACTCTCCAAAAGAGCGAATCAAGGAGCTTCCTTTACGACGAGTAGGACAGGTACAGGCAGGAGACAGATGAAGTGTGAAACCTAGCTTTTATTGCTTTTCTTTTATCTTGGCATATCTCCATGAATTTCGCTTTACATGTTTCATGCTAATATTTCTGTATATTTTCACTTCTTGTGTATAATGTTGGACATAACTGCCTATCAACAGGCCCAGCTGTCAGAGCCAACATTACGTAATGGTGCCACAATACAGTGTCACGTGGGAGAGACGTGTCCCATGCCGGTGTTTACAAGGGGCCCAAGGTAGGGAGACTGTATATGAAAGCCTAATGTTTGTAAACTTAAATGTACATATGTTCGAAACCTCCATATGGTCTGTAGTGTGGAGTGTGTGGACAAACACGCGAAACAGTCGCCTGTCACTTTGAAGGCTTGGGTATCGGTGAAGGTCCGGGTTAGAATGAACCTTCAGTAACCCATGCTAGTCGTAAAAGGCGACTAATGGGATCGGGTTGTCAGGCTCGCTGGCTTGGTTGACACATGTCATCGGTTCCCAGTTGCGCAGATCGATGCTCATGCTGTTGATCACTGGATTGTCTAGTCCAGACTCGATTATACAGACCGCCGCCATATAGCTGGAATATCGCTGAGTGCGGCGTAAAACTAAACTCACTCACTCACTTACTGAAGGCATGGGTTCAATTCCAGTTGGGCGTGCATCGAGTAAGAATCATTTTATGCCGTCCACTCTGATAAAATCCGGCTTTGCATATTGCTCAGTCTAATAATTTTGTATTTACTGTGAGGGAATGCTGAATTTATTAGATATGGGTGATATCATGATATCATGACTGTGAAACAATTATTGTTTTTCTCAGTGCTCATCAAACGTTGAGTCCCGGTCCCACCAGTAAAGGCTTACAAGTAAGCATAACACAACCAACAGCAAGCAGTATGGCGCCCGATCTGAACCATGGCAGCGTTCAGGTAACGCCCACAGCGACCGGTCACGAAAAGGTCTGCATCAAGACAACTTCAGGACAACCACACAGGTAGTATGTCATGTACAGTCAAACACTGTTGTGTCGAAGTAAATACTACTTCGAGTTATCAAAGGTTCGACACAACAGAAACATGATAAATAAAGGGGGCGGTGGGGTAGTCTAGTGGTTAAAGCGTTCGCGCGTCACGCCGAAGACCCGGATTCGATTCCCCATATGGGTACAATGTGTGAAGCCCATTTAGGATGTCCAACGCAGTGATATTGCTGGAATATTGCTAAAAGGAGTGTACACAAACATACTCACTCATTCACTCACGATAAATAAAGAATGCAAACGAAGGGCCAAGCGTTTGCTTCGAGACAGACGTTAGATCGACACAGTGATGTTTGGCTGTAATTGTATGGTACGGTTATGCGTTTTCAAGACGACTTTATTTCAGTGCCCGTTTTCTTTTCTTGGCGAGTGGAATGAGTTAATTCATCACAAAGTTATCATTCATCTTACTAACGAGTCATATAGATATCTTCATTGATCATAACTGTGCTGGAACGCCTCCGTGGTGTAGTGGTTAGAGCGTCCGCCCAGAGAGCGGAAGGTCGTGGGTTCGATCCCCGACCGCGTCATACCAAAAGACGTTAAAATATGGTACTTGTTGGTCCCTGCCTGGCGCTCGGCATTAATGGGTACAACAAGGACTGGTCGGCTCGGAGTCAGTATAATGTGTCTGAGTGGGGTATTCATTCTTCACTGCGGCATGGTATCTCAGTGAGCTAGCACTATAAAACCAGCTTCAGTCTGGGCTAGTACAAGCAGCCGCACATACACATACACACGCATGCACGTCGTCATATGAGCGAAATATTCTCAAGTACGACGTAAAACCCAATTTCACCTCACCTCACCTCATAACTGTGCTCCTTGTATCATCACTAAGGTGTTTCTGAGGAATTCGAAAGTTACACAATTCCATAGACTTGCCTTTGTCAATACACAGCTGAAACAAGACAATACTTCGGATGGGATGCCAAAACAAGTGCACGCAATTGCAAAAATTATACATATGTACTTAATATATATATATATATATCCACTGAAACTTATATACTCATCTCTGTATGTGTCTAAGACGTGTCTGTTTACGTGTGTGTGTGTGCAAACATAAAGGCCTTACACATAGAGGTGAGTATATAAGTTTCATTTGTTCACGTGTTCTATCTTTCAGCAACCAAGTTACGTGTTACCATGTTACCGTGACGCCATCAGGTACAAGTATTATATATTGTCATCTATGTATAAACTAATTCTCTTAGACCGCACCTGTCGTCTTCTTAAAGTATGAATGGAATTATCTCACCCCACATGTCAAAATGTTTCGATTAGATAGGTTTACGTGATCTTAATCAAACACTATGTTTAGTCTATACCTCGCCTGGGGAATAGATTTCTTACACCCCGCCACGAAGATAACAGGCCGCACGCGGATTTCTGAGCTGGAGAATTAATCCCTTAAACCCCGCCATGAAGCCAATAGCTAAACATTTTTTACGAGGAAATCAAAGTCAGTGACACAGCAACGGTTAACCTCAGCTCAATAGAACAGCTTTTGCCTGTCTAATTTCAACTCGTGTTAATCAGTTTACAATCACTGACTCAACCATGGCAGTGTCATTCGGGGTATTTGTGATGTTATGCCTTAAGTTTTGTTCATGATAAAACTGCATAATAGTCCACGTGATGCCGCTTAAACAATAATAAATACAATACTTGTTTTAATCATAAGGAGTAGGTGTTAACAAGCAGCGTAGACGTGGGACTCCTTGTGTTAACAAGATAAGATAAAATGCTTGGTTGGTTCCTTGCCATAAAATGCCAACCAGGCCATCGGCATGTTGAATATCGGAGCTTCACAACGCCATGGATTCCTGCTTTATAATATTCACCATTCTTCCATAACCATGCTTTTGCGTTCAAACCCGTATTGTACGTTTACATGCAAGACATCAAAGACGCCTAATTCAAAGAAGAGCAAGAAGAGCAAAATGTTTAGAAGAGCAAAATGCTAAATATGTAACTATATTTCAACTTCAAGGTCGGTTTTGATGCCTCAAAGTAAACATAAATGACGTGGTATGATATTCGATTAGGGTTAAACTGGTAGGCATTGTATTGGTGTTCACACACGTCACGTAACCAGTGTCCCTTTATGTTTGATTCAGGAACTGGTGGTTCAGGGTCAGGAACAAACCCAAGTACAGTAAGTCAAAGCTATAGCAGCATCTTTGAGGATTTTGGGAAAGCACAGGTGGCATGTACCCTACAGCAGAAT